TGGTGCTGCCCCCCCCCCCCCCCCCAAAAAAAAAAATGGTAGTGGGTTAACCAGACCCACAAACACTTTCTGGGGGAGCAGGTCCACCAGACCCACAAACACTGGTTGTGTTACAAAAAGTTAGCATCCCACAAAGGTTGAATGTTTCTGATTTATTTAGTATTACACTTCCAACACTATTTATTTATTTATTTATTTAAACACTAGAGTGTCCATCTCTGTTGGGCTTAAGCAACATCTCTGTCAGTGCTAGCGTGACAGTAAATGACACAGCCCTCACCAACAACATCACTAGCCATGTGGAAGGATCAGACCGCACAGACAGCCTGGATTACACTTTCTGCCCAGGTGATGATATACTGGATGGATGTAAGGTAAGTAGAAGAATATTCCATCTCATATAGAGTGAAGATTTCCTTTCCCTAGTGGTGTTGTGGTAACTTGGTTTTTAATGTGAAAGATAACATATATAGTCACAATATAGCAAGGCTTCATTTTACATGTTAAATCTTGTGCAGCTGTATCTGTGTGGCCTGCCAGAGAAGAGACTGGAGAAGCTGCGGCGCCTTGTGAACACTGCAGGAGGCCTGCGCTTCAATCAGCCCAGTGAGAAACTCACACATGTGGTCATGGGAGAGCTGAACCAGGACCTCAAGAATTTTCTCTCCAAAGTGACTCATAGGTCTGAACCACAGACATTATAAAGCTTCTCAGTTATGGTATTTAAAATCTGGCATGTTTTAACCTTTTTCAACCTGTAGAACTATAGAAATGTGAGATCCCAAATGCACAGTATATACAGTAAATGTATATAATATGAATAATGATAGAGAATGTAGACAAAAGAATATAATGAAATTTTAATGGGAATTTAGAAACATCACTGTTCAAATGATGGGGACGTCCTGAAGGAATCTGATGTAAATGCAGAAATGCCACAAAATATATTTTAACAAAGAATTCAGATTGATGAATATAGTCTGTTTGAGTTCAGGGCATGTTTTTACCTGGTCCTTAATGTTCAGTTTGTTTTGCAACATCATATCTAATCACAAAATCAAATATACGGGTCACTAAATCATTCAAATGCAGAAGAGAGCATCAACGATAACACTGTTGCAATTCAGTAGGTTTATAGTAATCACATAAATGTTACTGGTGTTGTGTCTTTGTATTCCCAGACCCCATGTAGTAACAGAGCAGTGGCTGCTGGACAGTTTCTCCAAAGGCAGTCTGCTTCCTGAAGCAGGTTACCTCCACCCTGACTGTTTGCCTCCTGCTCCAGCAGCTGTATCTGTGTCGACACATACCCCTCCTGCTTCCCGACCCACAGCCGGTCCACCTGCATGGAGTCCTAGTACTCCCATGCAAAAGAGAGTGGAGGAGGATCTGCTGTCACAATATATGGATGATGAATGTATAGCGGGTGAGTATCAGTCAGTGAGGGATTTCACAGAAGTTCATTGCAATTTAGAGATTGTACAAAACATTTAAAGCCTGTTGATTATATCTTGTTGGTCTTTATCCTCCAGTTAATACACCTCCACCACCATTAGAGGGCAACAGCAGGAAATCCATGGTTCAGCCTGAACCCTGGTCACCAGACCAGTCCAGGGGACCAGAACTAGACTCAACCCAGCAGGAGGCCAGTGAGGCAGGACTGTTTGTTAGCATACGTTTCCTTATTGTTGGCTTTGATACAGAGGCAGAGGCGCAGCTCTCTCTGCTAGTGACAGATAATGGAGGCAGAGTGCTGACGGGCCGACGAGATGTAGCAGATTGTGCTGTGGCTCCACTGTTCGGTTGTTCAGTGGAGGCCACAGTGGACATGGTGGTCACTGATATCTGGCTGGTAAGACCACAGACATGTTGGTTTCTTTTTGTAGGGAGGAGGATGTCATTTTTGGTGTTTTCAGTGCAATGTCTCAATTTGTCAATAGATTAATAGTTGATAAAACAGACAAACATTTACATAGGTAATTATCTTTGAATAAAGTGTGGCCTCATGTTTGAACCAACAGCCTTAATTTATGAGCCTAATATCCTCAATAAATTTTGACAATCTATTAACTGTTTAGGTCAGTTATCAAGCAAAAATGCCAAATATTGACTGGTACTAGTTCAGATGTGCACCTTTATCTGTTTTATATTATTGTAAATTGGATATCTTTGAGTTTTGCACTGCTGGTTGGAGAAAGACTTCTGAGGATGTCCTTGAGCTTTGGGAAAGTGTAACTGGCATTTTTCACAATTTTTGTTTTATATACTAAATCAAAAATTACTTGTCAGATAACTGATAATCCAAATATAATTAGTTTTATTCCTACACAATTTAACTGATTTGAAACATGTTTTGTTTCATCAGTTGTGTGAGCTGAAGCTGACAGTTATATTTCGCTCTTGTTCATTTTCAGGCAACGTGTGTACAGAAGGAGTGTGTTCTGCAGGTTTCCTCCAACCCTTTGTTCACCCCAGTTCCTGTGATGGATGGTCGTCTACCTCTCAAGGATTGTGTTCTGTCCTTCAGTCAGTTCACCAGAACAGAAAAGAATTCTTTGGTGGAGTTGGCCAAGTACCTTGGAGCCATGTATGGTGTTTACCTTTATATACTGTAAATTGTTGTTTGTGTAATTTGGCCCAGGAATATATGTTTATGATGTATGGGTAGCAGTTTTGCATTTAGAACAAGTCTGCAAAAGAGACATTTCCATTGTATGTACATTTGTCTAGCTGTTGGCTCTCCTGGGCTGTGAGATATTAATTAGTTGCTTCTGTGTGCATTGTTCTAACATACATTCATTCTCTCTGCTGCATATGTATTAACCTCATGCGTCCTGTCTGCTTGTTGTGAACTGCCTCTTTGAAATTTACATCTTTCCTTCTCTCCACCCTGCAGTGTTCAGGATTACTTTGTGTACCTCCCCAACCAGAAGAAAGACATGCTGATTAGTACTCATCTGGTGCTACAGAGCCCCGAAGGCACAAAGTACGAGGCAGCAAAGAAATGGGGGCCTCATGCTGTCACTGTGCACTGGTTACTAGAGTCTGCGCGGACCGGTCAGAGGGCAAAGGAGGAGCGATTTCTAGTTGACCAGTCACCCTCACCAGGTCAGATAGATGCCTTGGTCAAAGTGTTCAGCAAATATGTGTTTGGAAAAGCCTGTGATGAAAATTACAGTAAATGAACAATGCATTCTGTGTTTTTATACATTTCTGATTTGTACTCTTTTGGCTTTCGTAGTTGATTCATTTATGACAACAAATTATGACAATCCTAGTGATTAATAGCGTTTTACTTGTTCGAGCAACCCCGCAAAATTTACTAACATATAATTTGTCAAAAGCTCCGTTTAAAGTGATTAAAAATGGAACAGTTAAGCTTGCATTGGAGTTGTGTCTTTATAGGTTGTTAGATGTAATTCTTCAGTAGATTGCATTTTATGCCAAATTATAGGCCCAATTTATTAAAGTATATCGTTGTTACCACTGGTATAAGAGACTGTTTCCTTTCTTCACAGAGGAGGCTGAAGAGAGTACTGCTGGTTGTTCCAGCGCAGCTGCCCCAGCTTGTTCATCTCCACAGATCCCTTTGCTGGGTTTCCAGACCATCAAGGCCATCACCCCACTGGAGTCAAGTCGCTTTCAGAGCAAAGCGCTCTGCTCTATGTTGGAAAAGATGAAGCCCAAAGAGGATATCAGCAACTCCAAACAAAACCAGAAAGGTGACAGGAGGCATCCACTTCATAAGGAGCCCTGTCTGCAGTTGGACACTCCTTCTCGTTTCCTCAGCAGAGACCAGCTCTTCAGGCCCTCCTTTAATGTCAAGGTAGGAGCAGCATCTAATGCAAGAATTACAATTTTTTTTCTTAGACTTGTAGCAGTTAATGTGCATCAACCTTTATTAGATAATTCATGGAGTTTCTTATATTTAGGATGCACTAGAAGCTTTGGAGGTTCCAAGTGGGAAATCCAAGGCAGGAGAGAGGGTGGAGACTCCACTAACAGAAGTTATCAACAGGAACCTGAAGGTGGCTCTGGCTAATAGCAGCCGCACTAATGTCTCAGATATGCAAGCAGCCTCTGCTAGCCCCCAGCTTACCAAGACAGCTGACAGGGAGGTAAAGGAAAATACATAAATATACAGTATGCCTGTTTGCACCCATTACTAATGATGCTGATGAAATGACAGAAACCTCTACTGTGTTAATACATGAAAATTTCATTTCCAGTAAAAGGGAAAGTAGACATTATAATGCATAATTTAGCCTGTATACAGTCTAGATTACTTTAATTATGTATGTAGTATATAAACAAAAGTATTACCAATTTTCTTTGTAAGGTTCCAGAAAAGGAAGCTGGTCCCTTGAGTGGTGTTGTGATCTGTGTGGGAAAGAAGCTGAGCAAAATGCAAAGTGAACTAAATGCCATTGCTGCCTCTCTCGGAGCTGATTTCAGGTACTTGATAAATTTGCAAACCTCTTAATTCCTAATTTCAGTGAATATGGATGCAGATGCACATGTCTTTATCAACTTGTTTTTAGGTGGACTTTTGATGATACCGTGACACACTACATCTATGAGGGACGTGTGGGGGACAACACACAGGAATACAGAGGAGTGAAGAAAAAAGGAGTACATGTGGTCTCCCAGCACTGGCTGCAAGCTGTATGTTTACCAATAGCAAGTATAAATAGATAAATAAATAGATTTAAGGGAGACATTGAACTATTTATGAATAATCTGTGCTGTGGAGTTAATTCATTGGCATTTAAAACGAATTAGGTAGCTTAATTGTATAGATGCTTACAGCATAGACTACATATAAAAATGACAACACGCTACCACTTCCTTTCAATATCCAAATGTGAAGCCAAAATATTTCGAATATGTGGGTAGCCATCTTTCTTTTGTGATGCATTTTACAAGTTCTGTACAGTATTGACCAGAGGTGGAGCCATGGTGTCACTAATCGAAGCCGTCAAATCATCCAAAATACACCCCCTTTTTCTATCATCACTTAGCTTATTAAAATCAGAATTATCAGGAAAGTGATCACTAAACAAATCAGCACGATAATATCTATCTAAAATGACAGAACTCGCTTTTGGGAAACAATTAGGAGAGACCCTGACAATGGCCATACACCAAAACTGTTCGCCTTGCAATAAAGTTTATATTTATGCTGCAAGTGCTACTGGATTTTTGCCTTTTTTTGGGGGGGAAAATAGGAGAAATGTTTTGTTGATTTTGCTTAAGCAAGATTGTAAAATTGTTATGAAGAATAAATGTCAGCTTTTTTAGGATATGCTTGTTTAATCTGGGATCTCATTTTCATCATTGAATGCCACTGATGTATTATCTTAATACATTTTACCAGGTGGAAATCATCATCATATCAACAATTGCACAAAAGAATTAATGGGCATTTTATTCAACTAACGTTTGTGATAGTTTTAATGCTTTTTTTGGGTGGAGATGTGTACTGCATGCACTAACAAGGCAGTGCCTCTGTCCTGCAGTGTGCTGAGGAGCAGAGGCTAGTCTCAGAGTCTCTGTATCCTTTCACCTACAACCCTAAGATGAGCCTAAACCTCAGCCAGGTGCCCAGCAGCTCTCAGAAGTCTCGACCTTTAACACGGACCCAAATCAGAAGAATGACGGAGACAAATGATGACATGGTAGGTCTACAAATTTTATTTTACCGCTGCGACAGTGGGTGTGTTTCATGAAGTTCACAGTTCACAGCATTGATGTAAGGGTATTTCTTTTAATTATCTGTCTGTTTCACCTTTAATTACATGTGTAATTATTTGTCCTTCAGTCTGAGTACAATGCTGAAGAGGAACCTACAGTCCTATGTCATGAAAATGATGGAGACGTTGATCAGAAAGAGATGAATAACAGTAAAGAGAGAAGCGGTGGGTGTCTTTTTCCAACTGCGTCATTTAATTTTACAGTGCTTCTGTGCTTACTTATTGAACCTAGCGATGCATGTCGTTGATTATTTCTTGTCTCCAGATATTTCAGAGACTCTGCAAAAACAGCTCCAGGAGATCATTTCAGCTACCAAAGTGTCGACAGGAAGGCGTACCCCAGTAAAACTCAAAAGCCGTCGCACTCTGGAAGCACTAAGGTACAGAGTTCTGTAGTGTTTAAAGTATAACAATATGAGGCGTCGACAAAAAAAGATGGTGAAAATACTAGTTTTAAACCAAAAAGGTCAGTTTTATTCAAAAGTTCAAACTGTGATGAAGCTGATGTTCCATCCACTTCACATTTTTCTGTGTCAAAATTAATTGACACCATTTTGTCCTGATTTCAGGGTTTCCAGAGAAGCAGCGATGGACATAAACACAGAGCCATCCCAGAGTGAACAGATAGTTTGGGATGACCCTACAGCCAGGGAGGAGAGAGCCAAGCTGGTTGATAATTTACAGTGGCCCGGGAGTCCTTCACAGCACTCAGAGCCCCTCGCACCTCCGCCTCCTCCCTCTGAAAAGTTCACGGACTCCATGACTGACTCTGAGCTGGTGGAGATGGGTAAGGGATCAGGAGCCAGTTGCACCAACTGTTTATTTAAACTGAGCCTAGTTACAACTTATAGTAATTATTTACTAAGTGCAGATTTACACACAACTAAATTAAAATGAGTTGGTCTAAATAAACAAGTTCTTATGTAGATAATAGCTGTTCCTGACTGCCAGCTAATTGAACCAGCTCGCAAAAGTAACATCAGTTTGCTGATGTATGAGCATATATGATTATATGAACTTTTAACTGATCTCTTCTAGCTGCTTGTAATGTCATCGACCAGCAAAGGGACCAGAAAGTCATGACCCCTCCATCAAAAGAGCCAAAAAATAAAATCCCCACTCCTAAAGCTCCCAGCATTGCCTTCCCTCTCACCAACCCCCCAGTAGCACCAGAACCCAAGGTAAGTATCATATTTATATTAACAACAAGCTGATTGATTCTGGTGAACCAAAGGAGGGTCAACACTGACCCCCCATGCCAGTTTGGTGCCTTAGATACAGAACGGTGTGGTGGAATATTGGTGCAATAATTGCACCTTGAGCAGGCAGTGTAAAGGGGACTTCTGAGTAGGTTTCCTTTGCCTCTCCTTACTTTGCAAAGATCTGCGATTATATGCAAATACAGTTTAATGAAGTACAGTTTCTGTTGTACCATATTTGTGATACACAACCTGTACTGTCATGTTCAAACGAGCTACTGCTGCTAAAAGGTAGAATATTTTTTATCTCAGGAAGAGAAAAAGGAAGAAAAGCAGCCACCCATATTTCAGCTGTCCTCCCTCAGCCCTCAGGAACGTATTGATTACAGCCACCTCATAGAGCAGCTTGGTGAGTTTCCCACCTAATTAGGACACAAACAGTGTTTCATCATGCTGTAGTGAAAACACATCACAGGTCTGAAGTTACAGGAGCTAATCCCCGATAACTAAAAAGGATCTTTTTCTGGGGTTTGGTGATATTTCCTCCTGTACCAGCTCAGTATCATCAGATGAATTAGGTTTTTATTACTCACAGAAGTTGAATCATTATTGAAACTTATATACTGTTCTATTTCTGTTTTGTTTTGTAGGTGCTGTAGTCCTAGACAAGCAGTCTTTTGACCCCAGCAGCTCCCATATCATTGTAGGGACTCCTCTGCGCAATGAGAAGTATCTGGCAGCAATGGCTGCAGGCAAATGGATCTTGCATCGTTCATACCTAGAGGCTTGCAGATCTGTGGGTCACTTCATCCAGGTCAGGATCTGAAGATTTATTCTCACTCACTTAGTGCTATGGGCACATAACTACTAACAGTGTTTTTGCGGTCACCTTAATAATCATCCATCCATTATCTGTACCGATTATCCTGAACAGGGTCAAGGGGGGCTGGAGCCAATCCCAGCTGACCCTTAAGAATCATAAAATGTTCAAATTTGAGGCCTTTGTAAAATGGAAATACCAGAAATGGGATTAAAGACATGGTATTCATTCTGCACTTACAGTAATGTTGTGGTATTATTATGCTTGGCCACTTGTGATGATATTAAAGGTGGTTTATTGTGTATTATGTTTGTCCTGTAGTCCTTTAAAGGGACTTTTCAGTTGTTTGTAATGATTTTTACCATGGCTGGGCCCAATTATTAGTTTTCAGTTTTAGTATTAGTGTAATTTCTTTTGTCCTTAATAAGATTTTATATCTGCTTTTTGTTTCTGTTGCAGGAGGATGAGTATGAGTGGGGCAGTACCTCCATCCTGAGGTCGTTGTCCAACATCACTGTCCAGCAGAAGAGACTGGCATTGGCTGCCATGCACTGGAGAAAAGCTCTGCAGGGACGCACTGAAAATGAGGTACATACAGGCTCCTACACATAGTTAACACAAGTTCAGACATTTCTTTTCCCTAAATAAGCCTTTGTATTTTTCAGGGTGCCTTCAGTGGGTGGACAGTCATGCTGAACATTGACCAGAAAAGAGAATCGGGTTTCAGGCGGTTGCTGCAGACTGGTGGAGCAAAGGTTACTGCTTGTTAATTTATTGTTATGCCAAATCCAACATTATTTGTCCTTTACTTACCACTGGACTTACCAAATGGATCAGATGGTAAATGATGATCAGAGTGACAGCATCTCAGACAGTGGCTCTGTGGCGTCTCTGTCCATCACATAAACTGCACATTGGAGAAAGTTCTCTTAATCAGAGCAAAATTTTGTTAGTTCAGTAGGGTTACATTTAATTGCTAATGTGATCGTTACAAATGCAGGGTTTTCCCCAGGAAATGGTTTAGCTGCGATGATATGACACCCAGATATTGTGATCAGTTTAATTAGCAGATGGTGGACTAAACAGTACTCTCACTCATTAAATATATGGAGTTATCTGTCAAGTTGTCTCTCTGCTCTGTTTTCCTGGTATGTTTTATGATGTTAGTAGAGGGGGTCTTGATTTAGACAAGGTTGCTCACTTCTGCTTTAAAACACTGTGGGGGCCCCTGACACAACTCGTATTAACACTATGAGGGTTTTCAGTTTTGAAGAATAATCACGAGAGCCAAAAAACTGGCTCAAGAGCTAAGCAAAAAGCCAGGGTTTTTTTTTTTTTTTTTTTTTTTTTTTTTTTTTTTTTTTTTTTTTTTTTTTTTTTTTTTTTTTTTTTTTTTTTTTTTTTTTTTTTTTGGATCAGATGCAGGAGACACAGATTAATGATGAATCGCAACAAACTGGCGAAGTGTGCTGGGCCATCTGGTTTGCCAGTTCCCCTGCCTTAATATAAGACAGAGGCATGGTAAAGCCCTAGTTCTCACTTGTATTTCCTCTCTAGGTTTTGCCCAGTCCCTCCCCATCACTGTACAAGGAGGCAACTCACCTTTTTGCAGACTTCAGTCAGCTGAAGCCTGGGGACTTCAGAGTTGATATATCAGAGGCTACCTCACAAGGAGTTGCATGTCTGAAGCCAGAGTACATCGCAGACTACCTCATGCAGGTTGGTTGAGCTTTTCATATAGATTATCTCCAGGTTAGGTATCTGTAATGCTTATGGAAGTGTAGCAAAGCTTCAGTTCAACCATAACCATTACCAAAGTTGGAAAAAAGTATGAATTGTAGCAAAAATTAATGCTTAAAAAAGGTTTTTTTATATATCTCAAGAACTTTGTATCTTGAAAGAATATAATATAAAGAATATGTGATTAGGTTAGTTTCAGTGCTTGATCAACATGATTGCACTGCCACTGGCTCATTTGTCTTTCCTCCAGGAGTCTCCTCCACCTATTGAGCGGTACTACCTGACTGAAGCTCCTTCTGAGGAAACTTTGTCACGTAAGCGTAAAGCAGCAGCTGACACCACCAGCCTGAAAAGGTCACGTGTGAGCTGAAATGTTGTTCCTAGATGTTGTCATCATATTTGACAGTAATTGAAAACGTGATTTTTTTTAATGTATTGTATGAAAACTAAATAAATATAGCATTGTTTTTGTAATTCTGTATTTTTTATATAAGAGCACTGCAGTTGCTGGTGCCTGCAGTGAGACTGTAGTTGTGATGGATGAGTCAGTAAAGACATACAGAAAATGTTGAGTCACGTTTTGTGATTGGGTGCAGTTATATTTTCTGACCTGTAGAGGTCAGGTCAGGCAGTGTATTCTCACTGTGTAACTCAGGCTCAGGTACAGATGATTTCTCAGCACCAGAATTAGTTTATAATGTGCTGTTTTATTTTTTAAAATCAATACCAGCTATAATTGACAATTTTATTAAATGTTTGGGATGGACTGAGTACCTTAAGTCTCTGGATGTTGTGGGGCTGTCTTGGTTGACACGCCTCTGCAGCGTCGCATGGCGGTCGGGGACAGTGCCTCTGGACTGGCAGACCGGGGTGGTGGTCCCTCTTTTTAAGAAGGGGGACCGGAGGGTGTGTTCCAACTATAGGGGGATCACACTCCTCAGCCTCCCCGGGAAAGTCTATGCCAGGGTACTGGAGAGGAGAATTCGACCGATAGTCGAACCTCGGATCCAGGAGGAACAATGCGGTTTTCGTCCTGGCCGTGGAACACTGGACCAGCTCTATACCCTCTTCAGGGTGGCGGAGGGTTCATGGGAGTTTGCCCAACCAGTCCACATGTGCTGCGTGGATCTGGAGAAGGCATTCGACCGTGTCCCTCACAGCGCCCTGTGGGGGGTGCTCCGGGAGTACGGGGTCCGGGGCCTTTTGCTAAGGGCCACCCGGTCCCTGTACGATCGGAGCAGGAGCTTGGTTCGCATCGCCAGCAGTAAGTCAGACTTGTTT